AGATGACATGTAAAATGTTCAATCCTCACAGCTGAATTAGCTTCCAATTGATGGTAAGTGTATCTAGAAAAATGTCTTGTAATTGTGATGTCAATTTTGGCAGTCTAAGAAAAAGTGAGAAGCAGAATCTATAATATACCATATAGAACTGTACAAGACTTAGTCATGATTGTAACTGGCAGCCAATATCTTACACTACCAGTCAGAACTTGGCTATACAGTATTGTCCTTACTTTTATTATAATCTGGATTAGGCCAGACTACCTTCTTAATGTACTATGAGCGAGCACAATACTTCAATTCTTTGTCAGTTGAAGAGTACATGAAACTTGTCTTGGTTACTGTCATACATTTGTACATGTAGCCACTGTGACAGTAGTTCTGATAGTTTGCAGTAACTTACGTCAATTAATAATATAGATTTACAAATGTAAGTACATGTAGCTGACTTTATTTCACCGTTATTTTGTACAAGTACACAAGTACACAGTCAAGCATGTACTAAACGTACTTAATGTAATTAGCTTTTTGTGGTGTTTATGAAGTTGATATATCATTGATTAATCTTTATATGATTAAGTTTGTGTCATTTAGGGATGCTTTATTAATTACACTAAATTCAGTGTTTTACTCACATTAACAGGTTTTCGTGTGTGTTTGTGTGTGTGTGAGTGTGTGATGTGTGTGTGTTTGTGAAGGAGTCTGTGTGTGTGAATGTGTCTCTGCAAGCACTGCTCAAAAACCGACATATCCGGACGTTTCCGGACCTGTACATGTCCCGTGAAACTTGGCGTGCCCGGGTGTGTCCGGGTGTGTGCAGGAAATGTCGGCCACGGCGTGTGCGGGTCTGTGATACCTCCGGACACGCCCGGACACCGGGTAATTAGTCGTGTGTACGGGAATATACGGGCCTGCACACGTCGCAAGTACTGCCAAACAATGAGGGGTCACCATACACGTAGACCGTTTCGCAAATGCGTAAATTGAGAGGGGCACAATGTGTTTTCAAAGCCGGTAAGAAGAACGGGCAAAATGCTGGTTAGAAAACAATATCATTTTCACTCCCGAAATCTACCTAAATATGAGTTCGGACCATGAACCGAATTACTATCTAAAAACGTTTTAGTTAACAGGCAACGCAACACAAAGACAAGGCACCTAGATTGGATGGTAGAGGAAATCAGCGTTACAATAAAAGTTGGTGAATAGAATAAATGTTGTTTGGGGGCCGATGCCTGCTATAAACTCGTCCCCGCCAGAGTCTGGTTGACTTTTGGGCCATGCCAGGCTTATATAAACTCTGCTGAAGAAACCAGAAGGATATATAAATCTTGGTATGAACAAGGATTTTATATGAACACGGAGCTTCAACTAGGTTCTGATATAACTTTCTTGGTATGAATGGGGTCTAAGTGTATTCCTGTATATATTTGTAACTATAACCCTTGCTATGAACAATGAGCAGATTTCTTTGTGTGGTCCATCGTCTCCCCGCATATATTAACGCCTCATTATACCGGCACCATCTTGAATCTACAGTGGGCAAAAACAACAACACAATTACTGGTCATAATTTTACCAAACTAGTCTATTGGGAACCTTCGACCTTGACATATTTCACCTTTGCAAAGATGGTCGTTTTCTCTGGTGATGAGAGGGACCGGTCTGGTGTTTTTCAAATATCAGCCCACTTTTCTATAGTGTAAAATAATTTTTTGGAAGAGACAAAAGATGCACGGTTTACTTGTACATTGTTGTCGGATGTGTATTGTGGTGTCATGATCAGAGACGAGACGGCGCCTATGTCTTATTTACCTTGTTTGTTTTTTTTTATATAAGAGAGGTTTAACTTCCTTGGTTATATTTAATTTTTTGGAACTTAAAGAACACGAAGTTGAAAACTTTACACAGGTAAACTGCAAATTATGTGTTGATGATAACATTCCAGACTATTTTATAGCCTATGTTTTTTATTAGTGTGCATGCAACTTTTACACAATAGACAAGCGGGACATTTCACAACTCTTTGTATATCATTATTCCTGCAGTGACCTTTAAACCAGACCAGCCAATTGCATGCATTTCTCTTTGTTGGGGTTTGAAAAGGGGGCCAATCAACGCTCGGGTCATTATTTTTGAAATCTTTCCGTTACATACCTGGTTGTGGAACGTGCATTATACAACTATCCTGTACACAAGCAACACGCTAGGAACTTAGTGAGAGAATGGAGGTAGAAAAAGCTTCATGGTGAGAGATTGTGTCATATCTCATCATCAACACAGGAATATCAGTATTGCGCCATTCTAAGTAAATTGGAGCAGTTTTCAAGACAAGAACGCCGTGGGACACTGGCAAGACGAACTGGGAAAAGACTACTCTCCAAGCTGAGGTTGATTGGGAAGATTGTGAACGTCAGAGTATGCCTCGTTCTTTGGAAAGTTGGTAGCCAGGATCCTGGGAACCAGGCTGCGGGCATAGGCGAGTGATAGTCCGCGTGCAAGAGAGTATTAGACCGGACCAGAGGACCGATGTACACCCCTACCGACTATACGCTGTGTCCCGACTCAATGCCTAGGCCGTGCTGTGGCACAAGATGTTCGGCCCGTGGTTCACCGCCTCAGCGAGGCTTGTTGCACAGCGCGGAGTAAAGGGCTTGGGATGGCTTCTAATGACTGGTGCCCAGACGAGACTAATATCTGCTCCCGTGACTAGCTGCGTCTAAAGGCAAGACACAGAAGGACGAGACCTACAGTTTGTTTCGGCTGAGCTGAAAGACCGACCGAAGAACACTGGAAATTTTGGAGGCGCACAAAATACAAACACAAGTCACAAAGCCCAAGCACCATGTACAATTAATAAAGAAAACAAAATTATGCAAACAAGAAGGGGGGAATAAATGGCCATGATGCTACTTTACATTACAAAAGGCATATTGGAGGGGGGGACGTGTGCGGGTGTGTACAACCCGTACACGAGCTGATAATGAGGAAGATAATTAGGTAAAATTACCGCTAATTTATGCATATTTCATACACACACTCAGAGGTACGTGTCACGTATCCGGGCGTGTGCGGAGATTTACGGGTGGCGTGTGCAGACGTGTGCAGGCCCGTACACGGCCCGGACACCTGAGTGGTTCATATCCGGGCCGTGTGCAGGCCCGCACACGCCAAGTGTACGGGTCGCGCACACCTGGAAATGTCCGTATATTTGAAATTTCCGGGCGTGTGTACGGGAGTATACGACCCGCAAACGTCGGTTTTCGTCCAGTGAAGTGTGTAAATGAGTGGGTGGGTGACTGTGTAACTTATAATGCCCTATATGCATGCATATTTGTGTAAAGAACAAATACTTCACATGATAGTCAGCACATATTCTGATGAATATTTAATATTTACCATCCTGTCCAATGTCCAGTCAAGGTAACTGATTGTCATATGACTCACACCAAGTCAAAGTACAGGTTAGACTATTTGAGTTACGACAACTCGTGACGCAGCTCTTAAGTAGAGGAACAACATTTGAGCTCAGCAGGGCCAAGGAGAGAAGACGCCCCACAAGTCTGAAGTTCTGTCTTCAAATGAACTTGGCACAAACCAGGAAGGTACTTGGACTTTATTTTAAGTAGTCAGCTGAGGTACGTTATGTTACTTTATTGCCTTGATCGATGCTATCCACTGATTCCAAACAGGATGACTACATGTAAACTACTGCAATAACCTGCACCACTTTCCTAATTGTTTTTTTTTCAGTTTTTGTGCAGATAATCGTGAAGCCTTGGTTGTGACTGACAGCTGTCAATCTTCCCTGCTTCATAATCTAGGTAAGTTTGGTCCCAGCGATAAAATTTGTGCATCAAGTAGTAAACAATTTTTAGAGGACTTCATAAACTATCAACAATAATCAAAGGTATTATCTTTTACTTTTGTAGTTTATTCATAGAATATTCAACATCATGTACTCATAAAAAAGTGTTAATTAACAATTATCATTTTTTATTTGGTTCCAGGTTTGACAGCCTAAGTGCAGTAGGCTGTCAAGAAGTCCTGTATCTGAAAGTTGTCAGTCTTCACTTCTTGTCAGTATCAAGGTGAGTTTGATCCTACCAAGGAGGTTAAATACAAGTATTTAACCTCCTTGATCCCACTAACATCATGGTTGTATGAAGAAGTGGTATGTAAGGCCACACCAATTTAATTTCTTGGTTAATGGATTCGCCTCTTCATTTTTTTCTGATTTGCAAAAAAAATAAAAATTGAGAATCAACTGCAAAATGCTCATATTTTGCCCTGAACAGTTGAAAACAGTCCTTTTCTTCCTAGTTGTTACAGTTATTCCATCTTTCAATGGAGTGGTATCATTAAAAGTTCAAAATTTATTGTTAAAATTTTTAACTAGCCTAGACTTCATGGCTCCTATCGTACCATTTTGGGCTATAATAGGATGCCTAGGCCTGTTTTTATTTATTTATTTTTTTCGCCCGCCCACTCCATTATTTTCTAGAAAAATCCGTTAACCAAGAAATTAAATTGGTGTGGCCTAAGTGTAAAATATGCAATCAAGTAATTATGATTTACTTGACAAGCATTACATTTATCTTTAAGTTAGTATCTTAATCCTGCACCAGGACATTTACTGCATCATGTTCAAGAAGCCAGCAGGTGTGCTGATGTTCCTCCTGGTCATCCTTAAGGTGTTGGGAACTGCAGAAGCTGACTGCAGCTGCACAGCTTCAGCCACTTCCTGTGACTGCTGGGATGAGGGCCTCACCAGTGTTCCTCAGGACCTGCCGACAACTATCACAGAGCTGGATTTGGGATTTAATCAAATCACAACGTTAAGTCAGTCTGATTTCTCACGTTATAGGAGCTTAGAGACTTTAGAACTTAGATGGAATCACATTTCTACTATCAATAGCCAGGCATTCTATCACTTATCAAACCTGACGAGGATATTTCTTTATAACAACCGGCTAACAATCCTCAGATCTGACATGTTATCAGGGCTGGGAAACTTGGAGACACTTGAATTACATTTTAATGAGATCAGTGATATTCAGGCTGGAACTTTTAATTCAACACCACAACTGAGAAGGTTGCACCTGTCTAGAAACAGGCTAAAAACCCTTAGATCTGACATGTTCACAGGGCTGGGAAACTTGGAGACACTTGAATTACATTTTAATGAGATCAGTGATATTCAGGCTGGAACTTTCAATTCAACACCACAACTGAGAAGGTTGCACCTGTATAATAACAAGTTAACAACCCTTAGATCTGACATGTTCACAGGGCTGGGAAACTTGGAGTACCTTTATCTGAACAATAATGACATCACTGATATTCCTTGAAAATCCATTTTCTCAACCCATGCACAGAAATAAGGAAGTGCTAATCCTACTGTGAACTGTCTAGCAGTGAATAAAGTTCTAAATGTTGAATAAACTGTTCTCCATAACCACAGAAATATCACACTTAAGTGTGTAAAATGTAGATGCATGTACATATACATGTACCTACATGTATAATGATTGTAACTTGAAAACCACAGAAATATCCCAGACTGTCTAGCAGCTTGAACTAATGTAAGGGACAGATACTGGTCAAATGGAATGTTTTTTTAACAGATTCAAACATTTTCTGTATTGTTTTTCAAAGTAACATTATCAAACCATGCAGAATGATCCAGATTACATTGTATGAATTGTACCTGAATTACATGAAGACAATATTATTTGCAACATTCACTTATTGGAAAACCAACCTTGCCAAAATGTCAACTATATCTGATCAGCCCTGTCAAAGTTTTATCAAAGTGTGCAAATATTGTAGATGCATGTGCATAATATGTATATTACCAAGATGACATGTAAAATGTTCAATCCTCACAGCTGAATTAGCTTCCAATTGATGGTAAGTGTATCTAGAAAAATGTCTTGTAATTGTGATGTCAATTTTGGCAGTCTAAGAAAAAGTGAGAAGCAGAATCTATAATATACCATATAGAACTGTACAAGACTTAGTCATGATTGTAACTGCCTGGCAATGTCTTACACTACCAGTCATAGCTTGGCTAGACAGTATTGTCCTTACTTTTATTATAATCTGGATTAGGTCAGACTACCTTCTTAATGTACTATGAGCGAGCACAATACTTCAATTCTTTGTCAGTTGAAGAGTACATGAAACTTGTCTTGGTTACTGTCATACATTTGTACATGTAGCCACTGTGACAGTAGTTCTGATAGTTTGCAGTAACTTACGTCAATTAATAATATAGATTTACAAATGTAAGTACATGTAGCTGACTTTATTTCACCGTTATTTTGTACAAGTACACAAGTACACAGTCAAGCATGTACTAACGTACGTGTGTATGTAATTAGCTTTTTGTGCTGTTTATGAAGTTGATGTATCATTAATTAGTCTTTATATGATTAAGTTTGTGTCATTTAGGGATGCTTAATTAATTACACTAAATTCAGTGATTTACTCACATTAACAGGTTTTCGTGTGTGTTTGTGTGTCTGTGTAGATGTGTGTTTGTGTGTGTGGTGTGTGTCTATGTGTGTGTGTTTGTATGTGTGTGTGTGTATGTATGTGTGTGTGTGTG